AATGTTAAGCATATCACTATATACAAAAGTGATACAGGATTCCATGATGATTCTTATATGTAAAAGGTGTAAAGTACAATAAGTATAGCTGAGTCTCCTATACGAAAGCTTTCATGATAGTACTTTTAATAATGTAAAGAAACTTGAATGCTGAAGAAGCTGAAAGCGGGTTCTTTACATGCGGTAAAGAGAGTCTGATTATAGCGTTGTTTCTTTGGAGAATGTGCTTTATACTTTACTCATATAATCTTTTCTTGACTTCTGAATGATAAACCTTCGTTACATTTAACACAAAACTTGAATATCTATTGTGTCCATTCGGAAACAATTTATAATATTCCAATATTTTAAAGGACTTTAGATAAATCTTGTGTGCATGTTACAGTGCATTTAAGTATATATTTATCTTACTGTTTATGACCTTTTCTACGTAAATCTTAAGCTCTTATTGTTGTTTCGTTAATAGTATCTCTACTTTCAACATATTATTTAATAATTATATGATGGTGCTCTAAACCTAATTCATCTAACTCAGTTTATGGTATTCCGAGACTACTTGATGAACCTTCCGTCCCTTTTTAATAAAGTTTATATATTCCGAGACTAAATGGTGAATATTTTGTCCCTTGTTAACTCACTTTCTAGTATATATAAACCTTTTTTGTTACAAAGAACAATGAAGTTATTTCTTTTTTTAACACGTTTTATTGCTTATATTCAAAAATTTGTGGCATATAATTGCTTCGTAATCTCAGTGATGTCTAATGATGATAAACAGCGTTTGTTGTATGTGTGGAGAATATGGACATGGTTTGTAACTTAAAAGTTAAAACATTGTTTTATACCGATGATTTATTCATTTTTCTTTAGCTTTTACACACATATATGTGTGTGTGTGTGTCTTTTTCAATATTACGCTTAAAATGCCTTATTAATGAACATGTTATTTGAAATTACTGCAGATATAGTGTGGAGAATGATTGTTTCTTTATGTTAAGTTATCTAAAGCCTGAAATAATATATATATATATATGTGTGTGTGTGTGTGTGTGTGTGTGTATTTGTGTATAAAGTGAGAGAATAAAAACTGTACGTTCAAGAAAACGATGTGTTTACAGCTTTCAACACTAGAGGGCAGACTTTTAGGTTTGGCATTGAAATGACGTAGTTGTTTTTAAAAAAATTATGGAGATAACTGCTTATGACAAGTCAAATTAAAGCAATTAGTTAGAAAGTTCTATACGAAGAATGACATAAGTTACAAATAAACGAAAATTTCCTTCTAATTTCTTAAAATATTTTATTTGATAATAGCTAGACTGTTTCAAATTTCAGAGGCCATACAAAAACACTGATCAAGAAAACATTAAACAAAATCCAAAATCAAAAGATTTTAGTCGATTATCGCTAGAGGATTTTTTTACAATCACCAAATTAACTCCTTAAACGTACCCTCATACAAAGCCGACCTTAATAATTAGGTCTTTAAAATACTGTTTGCTAATCACTTGAAAATTATATTACTAATTGCCTGGCGATTTTAGCAGACACACACACACAAAAAGGATTCTTAGTGAAGAAATATATAAAAAAATAAGTAAATCAACCTAATTATTGCTAATTAAATCTCTGAAGTGTTTTACTTCAATCACCATAAGATGTTACCTACAGATAGCAAATATATTACATCTCCTTATAATACTCGCTATGAAGAAATAATTATTTCACCACGAGCTACTAGAAGAATTTCTCCTTACAAACGAGCCTTCCAGAGCGGAACGTTTGTGGACTTACAACGCTAGAAACCGTGGTGGACAGAGCACAGATAGTCCATTGTGTAGCTTTCTGCTTAACTACAAACCAACAAAACCTAACAAACGAACTTCCGACGAAGAAAGTGTCACAATTTTACTGATAACGAGCTAGGTATTTAGTTGAACTCATTAACTAACGTACAGAGGGTTTGTATCCGCTCTCGATTAGTGAAATGTATACACTAATTATTGAGTACTTTTAGCCAAAAAAAAACACGACAAAAAATATTAAACAATTTCTAATTTAACATTTCATTAACAGCTTTTTTCTGTACGATTTTCTGCAACTAAAAAAAGTATTAAAAATGCATAATAATCAATGATAGAAAGAATTAAATGAACTTCAAATTAACCTCTTCCCAACAAACTGGATCGCTAGAGAATTTTACTTATTAAATATCAGATTTTTTACCTACATAATTAATCAACTGAGAAAAAGTAGAATATCCAAAACAATTAAAAGGTGATCAGAACTTCTAACCTTGTAAAACAAGGCAGAATCACTATTATAAAATAATGCTATTCCCTCTTCCATGTTCATTCTTATGAAAATCAGGTTTCAGATCATGCCCATCCAAAATGCAAATGATTGATCATCCAGTTTTTTCAACACAGTTATTATAAAGAAATCGATTCTTTCACTACTAGCTTTGATGAAGCCGCTATGGAGAGTAAAGATCTTTTTTTTTTCTAACGTTATTGCCACAATGTCCTTCCAGGGTCAACTAGAAATTATGAAACAGAAACCTCACTTTATAATGAGTATATCTTAAAAACTACATCTCTCAGGGAAGCCAAATAATCATCAGAGACACATTAGAATCATAAACTTCATTAAGGAAAGTTCAAACGTGGTATACAGGGTATTTCCAAGCAGTATGATGTTGCATACGTAAGTCGCTTTTCTCGCAAAATATCGTTACTGTTATTTTATTTCTTTTGTTTCGTGAGATCGGTGATTTGAATAAAATGCGTGTCAATGTACGGGATATCGAGGGAATCAATGAACAACACGGACAAAAACAGATGGTGTTTGCAGTGGCTTGATTGAGAGTGGGCTTGATACTTTGATCAAGAATAACTAAAAAATATTGAATTGAAAATCATGTCTCGACTTTCCTGAATAAAACTTATTACACTAATCTGTCTCTGAGTCTCCTAGGACAAGTATGTTGTTAAAATACCGCCAGTTTAAATTTGGAGTTTTCATTATAATCACCATATATTGCGGTATCATAAAATATTGTCTTTGTTGTCAGATTAAAGTTAAAAATTCGTGACCAGACCTTAAAAAGGGCAGCTGGATGTTTTACTCATAAGGCAGACAACCACAGCAGACAGTTTCATTACAAGAGTGTAGAACTGCATCCGTTCAAATGGTACTGTTGTTTGTACACCTGAACAAGGCACACCATCATCTACGACTAAGCATAGCTGTTGATTCTAGCTCGCCACGATCATTGAGTATAGGTACTGAGAAGAATCATAAGCGCTCAGCCTTTAGTGTGCAGATAGGAACAGACTTTAAGATCCCAATTTCATATAGAAATGCGACGATGCAAAAAGGGACCATTAATAACATATGATAGGGACGACGTGCTACCTTTGTGCTAGCACATCCTTATATAATTGACCCTGATTTCAGCATAATGGATTAAATTCGCGCCCCCACGAGCTAAACTGGTTGGCACGTTTTTTGAAGAAAAATGATTGCATGACAGATAACGATATGCCTTATTTGGATAAAATCGCAGACGAGGGGATGATTTATATTATTTTGTAATAATGGTTGTTTTTCTTATCATGGCCATGATGTACAAATTCCTTAAAGGAATTATCATTTAACCATTTTATGTAGTGTATTCCACGAACTTGAAAGTAACTATTCTTAACGAATTGTATACATTTATTTTTTAATTGCCAGAAGATTTCAGTCCATAATAATGATTTTTTTAAGGAAAGTATTTCACAAACTATAAAGTAACTTTTATCCCAACTAGCTGAGTCTTTAAAGAATGTTACTCACTTGGCATCAGATGATTTAACGTACATAAAGAAGTGATTAATAAAAAAGTATCAAATCAAAACCAAATTAACAATTTAACAAAAATACTAATTAATTACTTCAGTATCAGCTTTTTTAAGGAGAGTTCTCAAAGTTTTCCCTTACTAGCTGCCAAGCGATTTTATTAACCAAAATGATCCCAACGTCAAATAAAATAATTTAATAAAGAACAAACGTGCAGTTTTGAAATAGGCTAGTTCTATATAAAATTTACCCGATATTCGCCTGACAACATTATCTTGCAAAACAGATAAATAAATATGAAAAGCTGCTGTAATGAAATTTTTAAATGGTTCTAACTTACCACTACAAATTTGTTATTTAGAAAATGTTACTAGTTAATCGTTAGGGGATTTTATTCGTGAAAGTTAAACTTCTAATCAAGATACTATTAAACTAAATCCAAATTTACTGGTTTGTTTGTCGTTAATCGTAAAAGTATACCATGGGCTATCTGTGCTATGCACACGGCGGGTATCAAAACCTGATTTTTAACGTTATAAGTCCTCAAACTTACCGCTGAGTCACTGGTGCACTCATCAAATTTCTATTTGTATACGTATTTAGGTTGCAAGATGCTAATGATTAACAAATCTCACTATAATTGCAATTAGTTTTAGTGTAGCATACGTGTTTAGTTGAATAGGAAAAATCAAACCAAATTAACGTTAGCTTCTGTTATCATACATGTTTAAGATAGTAGGTGATGACCTGTAATAAATTTATCAAATTAAGGTTAGATTCTATTAGTATACATGTTTAAGGTGCTCAGGTACTAAATTAATATTGTTATATTAGTATACGTGTTTAGGTTGTCCAATGATAATGTATGATAAATATACTGAATTAAGGCTAGTTTCAGTTAGTATACATGTTTAGGTTGTCCAATGATTATGTATGATGAACATACTGAATTAAGGCTTGTTTCAGTTACCATATATGTTTAAGCTACTAGGTGATGATATGTAATAAATATACAAAATGAAGTTTAAATTTTTAAGCATACATTTTTATTTTACCAGGTCATGATGTTTGATAAGTTTACTACATTACTGCCAATTTTTGTTAGCACACATATTTAGATTCTACCATAACTAAGGTTAATCAACCATTTTTTACAGGAAAGCAGCGAGTGTCAACTTGTGTCGGCTGCGGGTCCCAAATCAATGATCAATACATTCTCCGAGTAGCACCGGACCTAGAGTGGCACGCAGCTTGTCTCAAGTGTGCTGACTGTCATCAGTTTTTGGACGAGACCTGCACGTGCTTCGTTAGAGACGGCAAGACTTACTGTAAGAGAGACTACGTTAGGTAGGACAGTTCAATTATTCATAATCATATATGTGGTAAGCCTAGCTAACAAGAACTGAAATCATATATTTACTGTTGATATACGTGTTCACTGCTTAACGCCTGTTGTTATTAAGCATATTTTGTATATTAGATAGTTTTGTAGATGAAAATATTTTGTTCCGTTACAGATTGAAGTCTGTCCAACATGTTACGTTTTATCTAAGTTGTAGCAAATGCCAACTATTGGCACCTATTACCAAATTGTTTGTACCTATTAGCAAACTGTTGGCACCTATCACCAAACTGTTTGTACCTATTACTAGCGTTATTACTTACAATACAGGTTGTCTGTCTTGTCATATCCTCAGATTTACAATATTTCTACCACACCTCTTGTTGCTTCTGCGTGCATTAGGTAGATAGATAATATAAAGAACTTGTGTAGTATATTAAATTATTTTTTTATGATTTAAATACGTTTTTTTCTGAGAAAAATATGCCAAATAGTTTTTAATTATTCATCTGTGAATATGTAATTCGATACCGTTATCAGTAGATGGCAGAAAATATTGCATACATTTAGATAAAATGGTAAAATAATAAGATCTTATATAACAATTCATTTTTAGTTGATAAACACGGATGAAAAAAATTTTCCGTACACCAGATATAAGATTTTGATATGATAAACTAAAATTATTATGATAATTACTTTATTTTTAAAAGTAGATCACGAAATTATCAAATTGTGGAAAGTTAAGGGATATTTTAAAACTCTAAGTTTTAAGAACGATTATGGTAAAAAATATAAGAAATTAGTATATACCAGCTATTTTTAATACTGTATCACAATAATTTTTACAGCATAATAAGATTTCTTTAGAAAATACGGCTATCACGACCTGGCTTTTAAATAGCAGTTAATACGTCTATAAGTGAATTACTTCATGACTTTTAATTTTATATGGTGTCATTTTTCGGTAATATTGATGTTAATAATAAAGAATTTACAGTCACACTTTTTTGATTATGGAGTTTGTTTCATGGATATTTTCGATATGACTTTTTTATTTCAGTAAGTATTAAGTATAGATTTATAGAATAATGTTTTCACATATAAAAATACATATATTTCCAAGAATAATAAGGTGATTAAATTGGTATGGTGCACATGGACTTATCTGATTCCTGAAAACAAGCTGTTTTTAAAATCGCGGGATTCTCTTTTCATATATGAACCTGTAAAAATTTTATAATAGATAAAGGTCTTTGCATATTTCATCTTGCCCCAAAAACTGAGCATTTATAACTAGGGTATATACCAGTCGAATTTTATAAAGATACTATCTTTAAAGTGAAGGGTATCGGAACCTACTTTAAATTTCTAATAGTAAACAAATAACAGCTCAAAAAGCAGTAATTAAGAAAAAACGCTGCATCTAATATAAACTCTACCGTAGATCTATCTAAAACGAACATAATATAACTTGAAAAATAACTGAAAGAAAATGCACCAGAACTAACACTTATAAAAGAATAACTTATTGAAGTTACTCCACGTAGTTTTTAATATTAACGGAATTGTCTTTGATTTTAATAAGAGTTATTCAATATTTTATAGATTCCAAATTAAATATCTATGAGTCACTTTATTTCTGGAGTTATTTATATATCTCGCGTACATTCTTTTGACTGATATGTATACATACGTTTCCCTGTGGTATTCACTATATTCACTGATATTATTTATCTATCCATTCCTTTCATCGCCTTAACTTACCTTTATGTACCCGCACACAGAGAACTGTAAACTGTTAAGAGTTAAGTAACTTAGTGTGTAAGAATGTCGGTTTGAAATTAGCCTCGGGATATAGAGGAATATATATATGTATGTGTATGTGTGTGTGTGAAGATATATATATTTGCATGCAATACAGACGTCTACACTAAGAAACCAACAGCAAAAAGAAAAACAAAAAAACAGGAAATATTAGTTTTGAAATATTAAATTATCTTCCTATGCCTAGTAGTTAGCGTGCACGGACTCTGAATTCGAGAATTTATTGTTTACGTCCCGTTGACGCAAAAAACCATACTTCCCACTTTGGGGCTGTGGATTCGTCATAAGAGTGACGGTCTAACAAGAGTACCCAAGAGTTGGCCGTGGATGCTGTTTAGTCTATCAGTCCAACATTAGAGCGAGCTATGCACCAATAGCCCTTGTGTAGCTTTGCGCGAAAATTCTAAACAAATAAACAACAACAAAAATCGAGTATAATATGAACAAATGGCATTTTAATGTTATTCCACTGCTCATCTCATACCTCCTGTGACGATAAGTTAAGAGATTATGAGACTAATTTAATAATTTTTTAGAAATATGCTGGTTGCGAATGATGTTGCTTGACATTTGAAAAATGTGCCTATGCCCATTTTTTTTGAATTCGTACAATTAGGCTCAGCACTTTTATTTACTAATATCAATGTATATGATCCAGAAATTAAACCCAATATTACTTTATCTGAACGACTTTAAGTGGTTTGGTATGTAGTTTTCTACTTTAAGGAATACAAACAAAAGTGTTTTAATACCATCTATAAGTGAACATGTTGAGTAACTGTGAAAAAAAGTTGGTTAAAGTGTACAAACAGTGCATTATAGACACAAGCACAGGAGCTTGGAATTTAAACAAGAACAGTCACTTTGGTACTAAACTGTATGGCTAATAATCTCGTTTGTTATTTGGCAGGTTATTTGGAGCTAAGTGCGCCAAGTGTAATACAGGATTCAGCAAGGATAACTTTGTGATGCGAGCCAAGAACAAGATTTATCACATTGAATGTTTTCAGTGTATGGCGTGTTCTAGACAGTTAGTTCCAGGAGATGAATTCGCCCTCAGAGACGATGGACTTTTTTGCAAGGCTGACCACGAAGTTTTAGAGAAAGCCATTAATAACAACAAAGGTACACTAGCCAATGGAAAAGGAAACAACAGTAGTGCTAATGATAGCATTGGGTTACAAATGGCAGGTAAAGTAAAACCCATACATTGCTTACCCATTATTTTGCCTTATTTGTATTGCCTCTGATATTGCCTCTAATATAAATAAAATAAGAGATTTGAACATTTTAGGTGTTATATCAATGAAATCAGTTTTTAAAATTTTTCTATTTCCGACAGCAGACGAGTTTAGCATTGTCAACAGTTCATATTTTGACAGAAAAATGTTTTTTTTTACTATATATTTTCGAGAGTAATTCAATATTTTTAGTTTGAGCAATATAAAATTAAAACCCTATTAAGCAAACGGTAACAATGATATACTTGTACACATTCTGAAGGATATTTTTAAGTCATATTTTGTAACTGTGAATCCTGGTTTTTTGTACTGAGATCTGTTCTGTAGTTACTCAGTTGGGCTAAGAAGTCATCATTACAGTTATCTATACAGACTTATCCATTATCCATATGATGATGTTGTATCATACTAAATACGAAAAATATCAACTCAGATAATAAAACTATGAAAATAACACGATTATTTTTATTAAGTGTGTTGTATTAATATTTAATGTTTTAGAGCATTTATTCATTGGCATTCATTTTCATACAAGTATTAGAAAATTCGAAAATATCATTTAATGAAACGCAAGAATTAGTTAACCTACAGCTCTCAGGTACCTTTTGGTGAGCTCACCCAGTCACTGTTTTTAGATGAAATTATAATTTGTTTAAAATGTATACTAATGTATTCAAAGGCTTTTAATAGTCTATCATAATCTGAAAAAGACAAGTCAATATTATCAAAAGGATAAAAATTAGTTATTAACAAAATGAAATCGCTTGAGGTCATGTAAACCCCCAGACTAGTATTGAAGAGTTTTCAATCGTTCGGCCAGCCTTGACTCTCTAGTCATGTAACTTGATTCTACACTCTGATTCCACTAGTGATGTAGTATTATTTATTTATCGGCCTTATAATCCTTTATAAGTTTTTTAAGTGTACAATCCCCTATAAGTTTTTATAGAGCTTTGCAGGAACATTTTACCTTTCCTACTTATGGGTCTGAGTTATCGTTAATCTTCAATGAATTTATTTTGATTATATATATTCATAATTTATTCTAGTCATCTGTTTTAAAAACAGAACACGCCTAGCAATGCCTTGTGGTTAGGACGTTCGACTCATCATTTGCGGTTCGTGAATTTGAATCTCGTCTCTGAACATGCTCGATCTTTTAGTCTTGGAGCTGCTGTAAATGTGACAGCGAATCGCACTGTTCGTTGGTAAAGAGTACCTGACTTCAAAATTAGGGATGGCTAGCGAGTAGCTTTGCACGAGATTCAACAAAAACAAAAAACAGAATGCGATTGTTTATGCTATAGAATAAAGCTGTTGTATGATAAGATAATATTTACTTATAATACAGAATAAAGCTACTATATGATAAGATAGTATTTACTTATAATACAGAATAAAGCTACTGTATGATAAGATAGTATTTACTTATACTACAGAATAAAGCTACTATATGATAAGATAGTATTTACTTATAATACAGAACAAAGCTACTATATGATAAGATAGTATTTACTTATATTACAGAATAAAGCTACTATATGATAAGATAGTATTTACTTATAATACAGAATAAAGCTACTGTATGATAAGATAGTATTTACTTATATTACAGAATAAAGCTACTATATGATAAGATAGTATTTACTTATAATACAGAACAAAGCCACTATAAGATAAGATAGTATTTACTTATATTACAGAATAAAGCTACTATATGATAAGATAGTATTTACTTATAATACAGAATAAAGCTACTGTATGATAAGATAGTATTTACTTATAATACAGAATAAAGCTACTGTGTGATAAGATAGTACTTACTTATATTACAGAACAAAGCTACTGTAAATACTATCTTATCATACAGTAGCTATATTCTGTAGTATAAGGAAATATTACCTTATCATATAGTAGCTATATTCTGTAGTATAAGGAAATACTATCTTATCATATAGTAGCTATATTCTGTAGTATAAGGAAATACTATCTTATCATACTTATACTACAGAATATAGCTACTATATGATAAGATAGTATTTCCTTATACTACAGAATATAGCTACTATATGATAAGATAGTATTTCCTTATACTACAAAATATAGCTACTATATGATAAGGTAATATTTCCTTATACTACAGAATATAGCTACTATATGATACGATAATATTTCCTTATACTACAGAATATAGCTACTGTATGATAAGATAGTATTTACTTATACTACGTCAAATTAAATTATGTGTAAAAATAAAAAGATGGCTTTCGAAATTATTTTCTATAGAAAAATAATCTTCCAAAATATCTCAAAGTGAACTTTACTCAGTGAAAGAAGGTTTCACATTTAAAAGATTTGGCTTTGCCCTTCTATGAAAAATAGTAAAAATAAGCAGTTGTATATAAATCTTAGAAATATGAATTCAGCACCATGTGGTATATCATCAAAGATAAACATTTGTAATCGTTCTCAAATAAAATTTTATGAACAAAGAAAAACTGAACTTCAGAAACTAACGAAGTCATAAAACTCATTGAACTCTTCTGCATAACAGAACTTTAAAATATAGAACATTAAACTGACATACAAATCATCATAAAACGGGAATTTCGGAAAAATAATAAGCAAACATAAACAACAATAAATAAACCATTCACTACAAAACAAGTCTATATAACAGAATCAGAATTCAGAAACCAACGCATCTGTCTTCACACTGATATTTTATACGTTATGCAACAAAATAAAAAAATAAAAAATCATCTAAAATTTGTCCTTATAGCAAAATCTTGGAAATAGCTATGTATATATATAAACTTCTTTAGTTACTGATATCGTAAATGTGAACGTAACAATCAATCCCACTATTCGTTGGTAAAGATTAGCCCAAGAGTTGGCGGTGGGTGATGTTGAATAGCTACTTTCCCTATAATATCCTCACTTCAAAACTATATATATATCAAACTTGTTACACGTGGTTAATCACACTTTTAAGTAAGAGCGAGTTGCGTATACTAATGCAGTGGTTGTATTCAGCAGATACAATCCGCAACCTCGCGCGTTGTTTGCATAGTGGTTACGTACGTGGTTCAGGCAAATTTATAATCATTCGATAATGCAGTGTCGTCACTGGTAGCTGGAAGAAAGTCGCACATTCCGTTCCAAGGAAGGATATTAAATGATATAGAGCTAAAGGAAACAACGATTCCGTGACTAGAGCCTTCGACGTTTCATGGAAATCAAAAGCACGCACAAAAGAGCGCTGAGTAGAACAGCAGACTCAGAAACCGCGCCCCATACCAGTTGGGAGCAACAAGTAAAGAGTATTGTTACGAGAGAGAGCCCTATGACCCAAAAAGCCATCGCAATGAATCAAACAAAGATTTGAAATTGCCGAAAGCTCACATGCCAAAACCACACGAGCTTCCAACCACACTTCTAATCAATATGTATTTTGATAAGAAAAACTGGAATCACACGGTATTGCACTCTAGTCCATTCTCCTCTCCTATTAGTCTGCTTAAACGTTAGAAATCCGAGTGCAGATTTGTTGAAGGGTCTGTTGAAATTTTGTCAAGATTTGTGGTCTAAGACTGACTTCGCCATTCTCTGCTGAAGCTTTCCTTTATGGAAGTTGACGTATCAGAAAGTATTGCGTAATCATGGTCATCAGAATGACCAACATTGGGGGAAATAGTTCTAAGAAAACCGATCTGACAAAATGCGATTAACTCTTAATATTTCCGATTTGAAAGAGTAGAAAACGTATTGTGCCATGATGATACCGTTTGAAAGTAATATATTAACCACGACAATACACTGTTCTTATTTATTGTATATTATAATTTCGTTATGATATATTGTAAATATTGCTGAATACGACTTTCAGGTTTATAATATAAGATTACTAGTCAGAATCCTTTTTTCTTCTAGATGTCAGTATAAATAATGATAAACACAAGTTTTTTTTTTTAATCCGCTAATCAATTCATCTTAGATATCGAGTCTAAATAATAAGGATGTTGGGAATTGTTTACTTATCATACTTTTGATGCGAACTGTTTGTATAAATTATGTGTCATAATGCCAGTGCTAATTTAAATATTAGAAAATGTAATTCATTAAAATAAACATTAAACAGACAAACTGATGTTAAAGTTCAAATGTATGTAACATTTCTTCAAAGTGTTATCCTACATAGAAAAAAAAGAAGGATTACTCATCACTATTCATTCAAGACATTTTCATTAACTTCGATGACTCAATACGCAACTGAAAACCAATGTTTGTACGTTCTCTAGTCATCCTGTTTTATTATTCGTGCGTTGTTAATTAATTGTTCAAAACCACGTGTATACTGGATATCTTAATATAACACCAACGTTCTTGATCATTATTTACGACAACTTACTAAGAGGTATTTGAATTAGATATTAGAACTATTCAGGAATAGCCTTTTGTTTCCTTTTCACATAGGAGTGAAAGCATATGTAGCACCTTCGTCAAACATGTTATTTAACACTATATACTGTGTCTATTTACTTTTGTGCTATACCTTAACGTTGCATTTAGAAGTTAAATAAATGTTGGATGATTGGCTTCTTGGCAAAGGAACTTTCGAAATCGTCATTTTGTTACGATATGATTTATTTACATGGACAGGTAACAGAATTATTGTAGTATATATAATAGCTTGTAATTAACGACTTGTTAGAAATGAATAAAAATGTGTGCAACAAATTTCTTTTTACCAAACTATATTTAAGGATAAAAAATACTCAATGTGTCTGATGAGAAATGACATGTCACATAAGCAAAGTTTAGAAACAGAAGTTAAACATCATCGCAATACCCGATGACATTCAGATGAAACCGATTGTTTCAACTTGTATCGGCACCTGAAAACTTATGAATAATATTTTTACTCCATATGATCAAACTTAACTCATGCCAACACATCATTATTGTTTATTATAAAATCTATAGTTAGTTAGAAAATTGCATTTACAGACATACTGCCTCTACGTACAGCTGCTTGAAATGTATATCATAGATGTTTGGAATGTATCTCATGTTATCACGTTATGGCATACCGATCATTTAACAACAGAATATATAACTTATAACACTTATGTTCGACTTATCAATCTTTTAAGGAAACCGCGAAATGTGTTTTAATTAAAACAACTAATCTTGAGAAGTAATAAATGGCAGTACATAAATTTCAACAGCTGCGTAGTGCAAACATAAGGTTTATACGTATTTATCTCACTATTAATGATTCTTAAAGTTTTAAATTAACTATCAAAATATAACGATGAATTT